AAAAATAAATAAAATAAAATAAAAATAAAAATAAGAGGAATATATACAAAAAAAGTTAGGAAATGATCTTGGCGTGCCACGCAAAGAATTGTTGAACATTATTTATCCATAATGTTTTTTTAATAAGTTTTCAATCCGTTGTGGATAATTAATTCGATTTTAAAGATTTTTGTTTTGTTTCATTCATACTATAAGAAATTCACTTTACGCTGTATTCTTGGCAAAGCTATGAAAATATCAAGTTTATCGTCGGGTTTTGTTTGGCGCTCAGTCAATTCCCTTGTCTGGATACCCTCATGATTATTTTATTATTAAAGCGTTGCAATTCGTTGGACGTATTGAGAATGACAATGGCGCTATATTTTTTGGCACAGTTATGAAGATTTCGGTTTGTTTGTTTGGGGATCAGCTTGTTTTTCCCCACATATGATTAATTTATTTCACACGATAAAAATGTCACTTTAAGCTATAATCTTGGCACAGCTACGAAGCAGGCTATTTACCCTCAGGATAATCAGATGATTCAATTTTTATAAAATAACTGTTATTAATCTCGCGTTTTGATTGGTTGGGACGCGTGTTTTATAAGAGTACACTGCACACCTTCTATTTTGTCATTCGGATCCAAAATAACAGTTATTTTAATTTGTAAAAAAACAAACAATAATAATAATAATAATAATAATGATGATGATGATAATAATATAGAAATAAAACTTTCTGTGCTCTAAACAAACACTTAATATATCAAGGTTCCACTAGCGACCGGTTTGCATTCCACTCTTCATAGCGGCAAACTTTTAAATCAATTCTTAATCATTTATTCTTTTAAGTTAGAGCGAACTATTCGAATTTCACCGAAGCATATTCGTGGAGGTCCACGACAGCAGGAAATAGAGTACCGAAGTGTGACGTCATCAAATTTCAAATTCCGTTCAGAAATGTTAAGAGGGCGTCTCTGTATCAGCGTGCCACTCGATCTGGGCTCGAAAAATAGATTTCTTTTATATTCCTA